CTGAGGACATTTTGGTATTTTTACGTGGTGCCTAAGTAATATATAGGGTGCATTAAGAAATTCCCTTATTTAACCTAGTGTCAAAATTAAGAGCATTTGACTTGCCACCCCTTAAATTAAAGCTGACACCCACCCCCACATATCTTCATAATTCTCAAACTATCTATAGATAAATTTGAGTCAAAAGTGTGAACGAAATTTCTAATAGTTTATTTAAAATTTTCGATAGTTCATTTTTAAATTGTTGGTACGAGTTTTTTTATTGATTTTTTTTAAGAGTGTTGTAGTTTATATAAAATTTCAAAAAAATTTATAGTTTATCAAAAATTTTGAAAAGCATGGTAGTCTATCATAAATTTTGAAATTTCTAATAATGTGAATTTTCTTTCCAATTTTTTTTTAAATTCCGATGTTTCTTCAATTATTTTCTTAAATCACTGATTTTTTATTGAAAAATTTGTAAAATTCAAATATTTTTTTAAAAATTTTAATAAACACAATAATAAATTTCAAACAAATTTAATTTATAATCTATAATTTATAATCTATAACATATATAAAGACAATACTTAATTTTTGGTGAAGTTTTTTTTATACCAAATTTACCCTTATTTTAAAATATATAACTTACACAATAACTTCCATTAAACCAGTACTATCATCTTTCATATAACTCTCTACTAATAACTTCTCACATAACTTCTATGTAAAATTAATATTAAATAAAAATATATCATTTATATTTATATGTGTGCAGTAAAAAAGCGGACAGACGGGCATCTGGATTTATAATGTGAGTAGGGCTGGCAATGAACCAAACCAGCTCGAAGATAGTTCGGAATTCGACTCGACAATTAAATCGTTGAACTAGGTTCATGAACCAAATGAGTTGAGTATGAGCGAAAAATTAAGTTCGTTAACTAAATGAGCTGAACTTGAACTATACATAGTTCGACTCGTTAGGTTCATGAGTCAACTCGATTACATATGAAAAGAATTATACTGTCTTTAAGATTAGGTTTAAATATTTACTTCAAATCTTAGACAAATTTAATCTTCAATTTATTAGTTTTTGAATTAGACTCTCAAATGTATCTCTTGAAAGTTGTGTAGGTTTTGAATTAGTAGATTTCGAAGATAAAGTTAAATTTCAATATGATAACTTTTATTTTGTTTTAATATTTTATTTAAAAAATATATATTTATTTAAAATGTCAAATATACTAAAAAATATATATATTTAAAAAAATAATTTTTAAGTTCGTGAACCATGTGAGCTGAACCTAATGAGATGAACCTAACGAGTCGAACCGAACTATTCGTGAACTTATAACGAGTCGAGTTTGAGCTTAAAAAAAAGTTCGTGTCGAACTCGAACTCGAACTCGAATTCGAACAATTCTTAACGAGTCGAGCCGAGCTGAGGTGAGTTCGACTCGACTCGACTCATTTCCAGCCCTAAATGTGAGGTGTCAGATTTGTTAAATCCTCCAAAATTAAGGGTATAAGTGATTTAATTGAAATCTAGCCATAAAAGCACCCTAACCATTTGTCTCGAAAAAACTCAAAAAGTTACTGAAAAATTTTAAATTTAACTGTAGAAAAAAGTATTACTCATTTGGGGTGCCGAGGCGGTGATTTTTGTCTCCGAAAACAAACACCGTCACCGAACTGCACTGCGAACGGCGAGCACGACCACCGCACTATCACAACCACACACCAACGCCGCCTTCGACCACCCTCCGATCTCCATTCTGCTCTGACTACGCCTTAAGGTAGAACAACGTATTCTTCTCGTTCTTTCTAGCAATTTCAGTTCACAGTAATGTTCTTCTTCCCATATGCATACACATCAATTTCAGTTTACATCATAGTAAATAGCTAAATATCAAGTATTTCATCTCGAGATTAATGAATTGGATATAAACAAAGATTTTAGATAGAACATTATGGTGTAATTTGATTCATGCAGCAGACCTTACTTACTTTGATAAGACTCAGTTATTTTTGTTGTATACAAGGTTTTTATCCGTGACCGCGAAAACGGCCGCGACAAAACCATTTCGGCAGTTGTCTATAGGAATACCGTTATCACATATTTTATATTAAAGAATAAATTGTGGTTAATTCACACTGCGACGACTGTAATAAATGTTGCGACACATGTACAGACCGAAATCACAATAGAACATTAAGTATAGTATGGACGTAAATCTCCCTAATGTTGGTTTGGGTTGTTCAGCTTGGTCTCACAAAAATTTATAATAATTCAAAGTGAAGTAGAACATTAAGTATAGTATGCTTCTAATTTGTGTATCTATAGATGCGATGTAGGTGTAGCAGGGACAATATGTTTTAAATAATCAATATAATACACGCTGTTTTCAAAGGTTCCTTGTTTTGTATCATCACATTCTACAACAAAATTTTAATTGAGTTGAATTTCTTAAACTTGGCATTTCAGATTCCTGCAAAGGCATTGGGAACGGCAGCGGTTTGCAGTGTTTACATCATCAATAAGTCTGGTGGATTGATCTACTATAAGGTTCTGCTGTTCTATTTTGTTTTCCTTTGCTACTACTGTAGACTTGGAATTTATTTTTTGTTTCATATGATAAATGCTCATTATTGTTCCTTAAAATTTGTACCTCTGTTTGATGAGTAAGCTGGGTTGTTAATCAGGTCACTATTTTGTAGGGTGAGCATCAGCCGACAAGTTATATTAAAGATGACTAAGATACTCAGAAAGTCATTCTTAAAAGAGATTATTAGACAAGACATTGATTAATAGTAGAGCTGGGTATGCGGGCTGGCTCGCCCCGTTAAACCCGCACATTTTACGGTTCGGGTTGGCCCACTTTCAATTATTAACGAGTTGTGACGCACTGACCCATGTTAGTCCATGGGTAACCCGCCAGCCATAACAAAAATTAAATAATTACTTTTGTTTAAAAAAGTTTTTTTTTAAGCTAAAATAATTACTATTGATAATTATAAGTTAAAATTTATAAGGTTTAAATACCAAGTAAAAAAAACTTAAATGATACTTAAAATAATTTCAATATACACTCTAAACCAACTTAAGTATCATTTGTATTTTTTTTTTGTACTACGTAGATATATATTTTTAGTGAAAGGATTATGATAGGCAAAACTATAAGGGACAAAGGTGTAAATGATTTTAAAAGTACTATTTTTAGATGAATCACGAATAAACCCGTGAAAAGGTAGATTTAACCTGCACAACTCACGGTCTAAGTAGTCTAACTCACGAGGCAAAATTTAAATAGACTAAAAAGAAGTGGTCCAAAATTCGCACGGGCCGCAAGTTAAACGGCCAGATCCGTGGACCCCTCGGTCTATATACCTAGTTCTAATTAATAGCCTCGAAAAATCACAATCGCATCATTTAATCCATATATAACTATGACGAACCCCTTCCACACAAAGAAAGCTGTTGCTGTTGGTGCAGTTGAGTTGTAGCAATTTTTTTAATGATGGTAAAATATGATTTAAAATTATGTTTCCTTTTTGACAACAAGGATTATGGGTCTTCTGGACGCATGGACACCAATGATAGCTTACGGGTGACTAGCTTATGGCATTCAATGCATGCCATCTCTCAGCAATTATCACATGTTTCTGGTTGTGCAGGAATTGAATTACTCCAAGCTGACACATTTGATCTTCATTGCTTCCAATCTCTGACAGGCACTATTATTTTCCATAACTCATCATTATGTCAGGATTTCAAATTCACATGCTGAGTCAAATGAAGAATGAATGCCTAACATCTGGTACGTATCACTTATTGGTATATCTAATTCAAATGTTTGCTTTTTAACCACATTGGTGTATGTAGCCTTGAAGGCACCGTACTGTGCTGTGGCTGGGTTTTAAAATTTAAGGAAAAAAAGTTTATAATATAAAATCAGAAGTTCTAGATGGTTATTGGAAACATAGTTTTATGTGCCTTGGTCATTTAAGCTGCCTTGGTAGCATTATGTAGCCATTCTTCCTGGTTTTCATATGCTATGATATCATTTGCTAGGATTCTAGGACATGAAGTTTAGAGTGAAAAATCATATTTATTAGGTCTGAAGGAAGCTGGAAATGAGTAAAAAATATTTGTACTACTATCATTTAGCAGATTTTAATTAAATTAAATCTAAATAGGTCATTGACTTCCACAGAACCAAAATTTTTTGTGGTCTGTGAACCTGGAACTCAACAAATGGAAAGTTTATTGAAATTCATTTATGAGTTGTACATGTATTATGATTTAAAGAACCCCTTCTATGAGATGGAGATGCCTATTCGATGTGAGCTCTTTGATATCAACTTAGCTCAGGCAGTACAATAGGACCGTGTTGCATTGCTGGGTCGATAAATCACTATGGATCTGGCAAGTATTGTTTTCCAAAGTTGTTATAAACTTTCTTGTATGAGGTGATGCTCTCTTTTATTGCTTATAATACAAATTTTAAGATGTCAATATCTGAGACTTGTCATTTCCTACCACTTTTTTCACCATTCACCGCTATTAACTTGGTCATATTTTTCTGTTCCGTACATAGTTAATCATACATCTAGCAGGTAACATGTAGTTTTGTATTTACATATTTGGGTATTCAAATTGAGAAATTTGCTTGAAGGTGCTTGCTGAAAATATAAGCATCATTTGGGACACTTCCTTCGATGCTTTTCACTGTGTCAATCCTTCTCCGGTACATTTTTAATATAGTTATAAAAATATGCTGTTGCCATTACCACATGTTTTTAGGATATGTCTTTAAATAAACATACTTGGACTGAAAGTAAATATAAACAAAATATCCACTATAACTGAATCAGTCCTTATATTCGCGAGTTCCCATTAGATACTACTGCAAGAGAGACAATGAGACATACATAGAGGGAAAATAGAAAAATAGGTTACATAAATACACATATGCATGCATTATGCATTGGTTGAGTTTATTTTATAGGCGTAGAAGACATTCAAAGCCAAGGGGAGTTGTAAATAGGTGTTACAACAGATTTAACTTGTAAGTACTTGTGAAGAGCTTCTAATCCCAAATCTCTTCCAAATCCACTCATTTTATATCCTCCAAAAGGAACATCACTTCCCAAGGCTAAATAACAGTTGATCCAAATAACACCTGCACGAATGGACCTTGACACAGTGTTTGCAATGTCCAAGTTCTTGGTCACAATGCCTGCTGCTAGGCCATATCTGGTATTGTTAGCACTCTTAATAGCTTCCTCGACAGTCCTGTTTTTTATAAACATGTCATACATAAATCAGTCGTTCACCGACACGCCCCTAAATTATTTTAGTACTAAAAGGGAAAAAGAATATAAATTAAAATGTAACTTACTTAAACTTCATTAGTGCCATCACAGGGCCAAATATTTCATCCTTTGCTATTAGCATGTCCTCCTAATATAGGTTTATTCAATGTTTTTAGTAAGATAGAAAGGAAAGAAAACACCATGGTTAATTATCAACCGTGTGATAAAGATGCCAAATTGAAACTTTGATGGAATATAACTAATTACCTTTACATTGGAGAAAATTGTAGGTTCAATGTAATAGCCTTGGCTTCCCACTGCTTTACCTCCAGTCAAGAGTGTTGCTCCTTCTCTCTTTCCATGCTCAATATAGGAAATAATTTTTTCAAATTGGTTCCTATCAGCCTACAATAGAAAACTGTTACCAAGCCAGCCAAATACGGTCCTTATTTGACTTTTTTCTGCATGCAATTAGGTTTATTTTTAAACTATAATAGTTTGTGAGTTAATAGAAATTAAGTAGTCCTATGGACGAGCTGAGATGGTAATAAACCGTGGGAATATTTGACGTGTTTTAGCGCAGATTCAAATATGCAATCCCCTTCTTCTCCGCACATAATGTGAATTACACTGCCAGAATTTTATAAATAGTTTGACAAAATTAATGTCTTACTATTATTAGAGTTTAACCTAACTCATCCTTACAAAACCGGCTTTTAAGGTGAGAGGTGTCATTTTATATAAACAAACTCTTTCAATGCTCTATCTCCAACAAATGTGAGACTTGAGATCTTTCCAATACACCCCTCACGCCTAACCTTTTTTTAGGCTTGATGCTTGGATTTAAGCGGTGGGCGGCGGCCCATGGTCCGATTGATAGGCTCTGATATCATATTAGAGTTTGCCCCGAAAATCCATTTTTAAGGTGCTGGGTGTCATCAATTATTGTGAACCGTAGAGTCTTCTCTAACATCACGTGTGTCCTGTCCCAGGAAGAGGATTTTTGAGGAAAGACTTCTAACATCACGAAGAGGATTTTGAGGAAACTTCACCGAGCAATTTTTTTTCTTCAATTTCTAACCTCCAATGTCCATAGGTAATGATGATAGGGAATGGAGCATGTTGGGAACAAGATTGATATATTTCCTTTAATACAAGCTAGCTATGATGTTTATAACCATAACCACCTTTCGAAGGAGAAAAATCTTGAGAATAGCCTATGGTTTCATAGACTTTCCTAACGAAATTATATGATAAAATTGTGGTGGTATCTTTCGAGTATACATACAGTGTTCTAAAAATAAAATAGACACGTTCCATTGTCCAAGTTTGGTACATGAAATTTCCCAAATCAGTAATTTTTTTGGTACTTATATTATACATCTGAAAATCCAATCCTCCATTAATGAAGTCCTGTAAATGAAAGAAAACTGCAAAGAACATATAAACATCCAAGTAAATTGAATACCTTAAACAAAATATTAAACAGTAGGAATGACATTTAGATCCCAATAGTCAATTTGATTTCTCCATTATAGCGTTCCCGATCAACTTGAGTTAGTTATGTTAAGTTCTAAATTAATTGTCAGTGAATCTATTATTATAACAGATGAGTCCGTCGCAAGTTGCTATTGTATCTCTGTATAGCCATAAATGATTTTAGGTACCTTTCGGCTGAGATTCATGCATTCAAAATAAATGGTTGATTCCACTTCAAAAATCTTCCTCTGCAGCTACATCTTCGCCATCTTCATATTCATATGCATAGATATTTTCGTCATCTTTAAGTTCCCAATAATATTTTAAGACAAGAAGCACACGTTCACATTCACTTTTAGAAAGTTGAAGATTATTTCAGCAAAAATTGAGGTTTAACTCGAAACGTTTTCAATCTTAGAGTAGAAGTAGAGGTGGCAATGAAATCCATTTAGATAATATCCATCCAATCCATCCAATAATTTTTCCATCCATAAGACAAAAAATAATTTAATGGATTTGATCTAATCCATCCACTAACTCATATGGATGGATTCAATCCATCCATCTCATTTTATAAATCCATTGGATATTATGTTGTCACTTATTAAATTAAAAATTTTTAAATTAATTTTTTGGACGGATGGATATATTAGAAATATGTTAATGGATGGATCGGATGGATTTTATCTTTTAATGGATGGATTGGATTGGATTTTTATTAAGAGAGTTTAGTGCATTGTTAACGGATTAATGGATTGCTTTGATCCATCCATTAACAATCCAATCCATATCCATCCAATCCATCCATTTTGCCACCCCTAAGTAGAAGTAGAATATCATGTTCAATGTTTTTTTTAGAAACTCATTGGAAACTGAAGGAAGATATTGAAACCCTAAATGCAAATCGGTGGGGAGAATTTGCGTTTAGGGTTTCAGAATGTTTCGCACGTTTCCAATGAATTTCCAAAAAACATTTAACATGACATTCTACTTCTACTTATTCTTATAAGGCTAGTTGAACTAAGGAAATTATGTGATGATTGGAAACGGAAAACGATTAATGTTTTAAACGAGTATTGGGAACTTGAAGAAGATGGAAATGTCTATGCATGTAAATATGAAGATGTAGTCGCAGAGGAAGGAGTTAATAATTATTTGGTTTATGAGGTGACATCAACTATTTATTTTAAAGGCAAGAATATCAGCCAAAAGTTAACTAATGACTTATACAGAGATTCAATAGCAACTTTTGGCGGGCTTATCTATTATAATAATAGTTTCACTTCCTATTACTCTGGAACAGAACATACCTCACTTTTTATCTGAAACTCTGGAACTCTGCAATAGAGAAATCGAAGAGAATTGACTGTTTGAATCCTAAATGTTATTCCTATCGCTTACTATGTTGTTTAAGGCTTTCAACCTACTTTGATGTTTATCTGTTCTTTACTGTTTTTTTTTTTCATTTAAATTTTCAGTTGTATAATCTAAAGTATCAAAAAGTTAGTGAGTCTATGCTCAGATAGCACTATATACTGGAAGGAAGGTATATGAATGTTAGGAAAGTCTATGAAACCACGTGCTATCTTCAAGACTTTTTTCCTCCGAAAGATGATTATAAACATCTTATCTCTAATTTGTTCATTATTAAAGGAAATCTATCAATTTTGTCCACCATATCAGGATCCCACCACTCTACGTTATCTATCACTATTACTTATGGACATTGGAGGGTAGAAATTGGAACAAGTTATTTGCAGTGAAGTTTTTTCAAATTCCTCTTTCTCAAAATCCTCAGATTATGCATCCTTTTCATGGAATAGGACATACTCTTCGTGATGTTATAAGAGTCTATGGTTTGCCACAATTGATATGGTCCTTGAAATATTCAAGGACGATTGTCACATTGACAGATGTGGAAAGAGTTTGGCACCCCTCACCTTAAAAGCCGATTTTGTAAGAATGAGTTAGGCCAACCTGTGAGTTATGGGCCCACCAGGCTTCCACATTTCTTAACAACTATATATTTTTCTTTTCTGTGTGAGTGTCTTGCAATTCTATTTGAATAGTTTTAGACACACTGACACCTTTTTTTTAGCAGGAATTCCAACTTTGGTTCAGTGGCTGTGGAAGACCACATGTTTAGACCATTATATTGATTTTACCTGAGGTCCTTGTTGAGTTTTAGGATCAAAAGGATCACCAACGATCCAAGCTTTTGCTTTCTCCACCAACTTCTTCTCAACTTGATCATATATCCCTTCCTGAACAAACACGCGGGAACTTGCGACACAAACTTCTCCCTAAAAAAACCACATGTTTAGAAATAAAATGTTGGCTAGGCAGAGATGTAACAGAGGACGGTCTTTGTAAGGAAGGGGTTTTAGGAAGTCAAAATTTCACCTTGTTAGTTAGGAGACCGAAAAGAGCAAGCTCAGCAGCTTTGTCGACATCAGCATCATCGAAAATAATGAGAGGTGACTTGCCTCCTAGTTCTAGTGAAACATGTTTTAAATTACTCTTAGCTGCAGCTTGCATTATTTCGCGGCCTACTTCAACCGAACCAGTAAAGCTAACCTGAAGATACAAAAATCAAAGGGCTTAGCAGCCATAGTTTATTACCAACTTGGTAATTGAACTTATAAATGTTTGACATATATAATTAACTTGCCACATCTATGTCCATGTGTGAGCTAATTGCAGCACCAGCAGTTGGACCAAATCCAGGTACTACATTCAACACTCCATTTGGAATTCCAGCCTTTAAAAAACAAAAATATTTAGTGAAGACCTCTACACATAACATTTAGATTTATTTAGTGAAATTTGAAGTACTAATCACCACACCGAAGCGTGGACACTAATGCGCACACAGATCCACACTATTGTGAGAGTCTAATTGGCTGCTCTTCGCTGTCTATGCCACGAGATACCGCGTGACATTGCTTTGACAGACTCGTCACAATGAAGCGTGACATTTCTCATACTAAAGCGTGTGCATGCATTGGCATGGAACTCGTTAATTGACATTAATATATAGTATGCACTGTGCAGATACTTACTAGCTTAGCTAGATGAGCATAAAACAAAGCTGAGAGAGGTGTTTGTTCAGCAGGTTTGAGGACCATGGTGCATCCAGCAGCTAAAGCAGGACTCACTTTGGTGAAGAAAATTGAACTGGGAGCATTCCATGGAATGATATGTCCCACAACTCCAATTGGTTCCATTAATGTGTAAGCATGGAATTCGCCAGAAGATTTTAATACCTCACCATGGATTTTATCAGCAGCACCTGCATAGTAACGTAGTGTATTTGCCGACGAAGGTATTTCTATAACCTTTGCAATAAAGTACAACTTTCCTGCATCAATTGCATCTAATGCTGCTAGTTCTTCTGTGTTTTCATCAATTAGTTCTGCAAATTTCATCATTATTTTTGCCCTTTCCTGGTTATAATTATTATTACAGCATTAATTTAAGAGGGAAATGAAAGTGAATAATACATATTCAATCCGAGAAAAAAGAAAAAGAACGAGTAACTTACAACACCAGACATTCGCGGCCATGGACCTGAGTCAAATGCCTCGCGTGCTGCTTTAACTGCAATGTCAATGTCTTCTTTAGCTCCTTCACTGATTCTTGCAATCACCTCTCCTGTTCTTGGGTCTATTGTCTCAAATGTTGTTCCTAATTTCCATAAAAATTCCATTTTTTTTTATCAATGTTATATAAAAAAGAAATAATACTATAATTTTATATTTGTTACTATCTTGATCTTTAAACATGATCATCAACAAATGGTGAGTTTTCACATGCAAGTATGCAATCGAAAATGAAGAGTTACTTATGAATGATGTAGCCTTGACTTATTTTCGATTATTCGGCGTTGAAGACATTGTAATAGAGGCTACTTAACAATTTTTAGGAGTCATATCTACTAAATGATTGTCATATAAACAAATTTTCAAGTTGTTTAAGCTTTTGTAATTTCAATTCCCCGCACTTTAGGTATTACTCATTTTTACATTTTATTGTATTTTATGTTTTTGTCCATATTTGTTTGCTTTTCAAGTTGTTTTCATTCTTCCTAATTTAAATTAGATTTGTATGTTATCATGTTTGAAATTAGAATTAAGAATTATAATGAGTTATATGATCAAGTTAGTATGTTTGAATTGATGATTGTAATTTGCATATTTATTATAAGTTCTTAGCTGTAAAATAAGTGATTGGTACAAATGTACTCATTTAAGAAAACTTAGGTTGATTTGAGAATGTTTAAAATTGAAAAAAATGAAAAAAATGAATTATTGAATTCGTGTTGATCTACTGTATCACTAATTGACTTAAAAGCAAAACTTATTTAAATTTTAAAATAAATTATTGTAGAAAGTGAATATGATATTCTATGATTGAATGATGGATATATAAGCAACCAAATTTTAGGGTGGTTGGAGTGTTTACTTTTTTTAGTATAGACAAATTAGTTTCCCAAAAAAAGAAGCTAAAATGTACACAAACATCAAAATATGAAACACCAAAAATATTGACGATAAAGAAGGTGCGAAACAAATTCCACAACTTGAAAAGTCATTTGGCTCGTATTAATTTAAGATACATAATATTGTGTTTGGTTGGATCTATGTATGTGTTATGACCTAAATAAAGTCAAGTTATAAATATGAAATTAAAAATAAATTTAAGTGAAGTTTATTCAAATTTATAATAGTAGTATTTTTCAGACACCTAGAATGCAAGTCATTTATTTATTTGATATAATAGATTTTGTTTATTATTTCAATTTTTAATTAATAATAAAGTCATGATACAATATTTAAATATTTATTGAAATAATATTAGTTTTACTTTTGAAAATTAATAGAATTTTAATATTTTTTATCAATTAATTTTTTTATTTATATTTTGAAAGTGTGAGATAGTTGATTTGACTGTCTTTTACCCTTAAGTTAATCTGACATATCTCTACTATTACTATATAATATACGATTCTAAAAGTCGTTTCATCAATATTTTTTTATACGTTTATTTTAGATGAACAATTAAGACTTTTATACTATTTATTTTAGATATTTTTGCTTTTGTATCAAGATTGTGAGTCTTTTATAATTTTTTTTTTAAATTAATGCATAATAATATTGTATCATATAAAACTATGAGTGTAAATTTTAAATCGAGTTTGTTATTAAAAGAAAAAGTAGTGATACAATTTGTCCTTTAAAATTATAATTTTGCATCGAAGAAAAACTATTTATTTGTGTTAGTTTTGGTGTTGAAATATATGGTTAGCTCCTAAAAAGATTTAACCTTTATCTTTTAACTTATAGTCACAATCAAGTAATTTTATTTAACTGATATTTTTCTTTTAAAATTATTATTAATTTCAACAATAATTCTTTTAGCCTGAGTAGCTTGGTTAACACTTGATGAACAATAGTATAATTATAAAATATACAAAATTATTATAAAATTTACAAAATGCAGAACCAAATCGATAAACTGTGTGACATAAATAAAGAAAACTAAATGCACCAATTTTGCATTAACGGAATAAATTATTTGATGTTCTTTAATATTTGTATGCACTGAATATGATATACAATATTATCAATAGATATTCTCACTTTTTTTAGTGCGTTTCATGAAGTTGAATTAAACTATTCCTGATTCCTAGATTTGAGTGAGAAGATTAGAAGAAATTACAAGATTAAAGATAGAAAAAAAATTGTAAGAACCTGATGCAGAATCAACAAAATGTCCATTGATGAAGAGTTTGTTATACTTGATGGTTGGTATTTTGAACAAGGAGGTGTTGTTGGTGGAGTTAAGATCAGTCATGTTGTGTGATTGATAGTGATTAGTGAATATAGCTAGAAATTAAGATATGATGAGGTATCTATATTCACTATATATACACATTGAGAAAAGCATTAGTGGGTAAAAAGTGATTCTTATAGCAGACCCCTATCATAAATTTAAAGATTATGTATTTTGTATTGTGCGGTTGATAAGTGGAATATTAAATTTATACAAAAGAAGATTTATAGGTGTTTCTCTTGTGATAGATTCTATTATAAGATGTGGTGACTCGCACTTATGAGGAGAGAATGTTAGATGTTTCCTTTTCGTATGGTTCTGAAATATTAATGGTACTCTAAACTGTCCTAAACTTTTCAACACTTTATCTCTGTCATATAAACGAATTTTGAAAAATATCTATTAGAAAAAAGATTGAATTTGCCACGTGTCATATGAAATTTCTTTATTTTGTCTTAAAAAATTTAATCATGAAAAATAATGCCAGTAGAATCTTCATATGACAGAGTGAAAATTTAATTTTTATTTTTATTTTATAAATTTTTAAAAAATTACATAATATTTAATAGATTATTGATGAGAAAATTTGTTGAAAATTTTGGAGGACTGCTTATAATGTGAAAACAATGTACTTTTTCTTCTCTTTTTAGTTTTGGTGGAGAAGTTTTTGTCGGTGTTTGTGGAATTTGGAAGGAGCGATTGGTGTATGTGGTAAATATTTATCTGTCTTGCTTTATTGATACGAAGAGGAAGTTGTGGAGGGAATCAGAGGCTTGTAAGGGGAAGTTTTCGGCGGGTGATTGACTTTAAGGTGGTGATTTTAATTCAGTTCGGAACGAGTCCGAGCAGAAGGGTTGTGAGAGGTATATGAATAGACGTGAGAGGTATGTGAATAAGCGTGAGATGGATGATTTTAATGATTTCATTGAGAGTTTTGAGTTGGTTGATCCTTCTCCGATTGGTAGGAATTTCACGTGGTATAGTTTCAATGAGAGGGTTATGAGTCGTTTGGATAAGATTTTACTTTCGGACGGTGGATGGAGGCTTGGAAAGTCGGGGGGTTGGTGGTTGGTTCGAGAGATCTTTCGGACTATTGTCCCATTTGGATAAAATGTGGATCGACTAATTGGAATCCGAAACCGCTTAAATTTTTTAGGCTAAATTACAGTCTTGGTCCCCTTATTTTGTTTAATTCACAAAATTAGTCCTTCTATTTTAAATTTAAACAGTTTTGGTCCCTCTAATTTAAATTCAAACAATATTAGTCTCCCTCTTAAAAAAATTTCATAAAAAATCGATGAAAATTTCGGTTTTTAACTTATATTTTTATCTACAAAGTTCAATAATAGATTTATATACGATGATTTGTTACGTTTTACATGTAAATTGTCATTTAAAATATGAAAACATCGTTAATTTTAAGTTCAAAAATATGAGAGGGGGACCAAAACTGTTTAAATTTAAAATAGAGAGACCAAAACTGTTTAAATTTAAAATAGGGAGGCCAATTTCGTGAGTCACGTAAAATAGGGGGGCCAAAACTGTAATTAAACCAATTTTTTAATTGTTGGACCAAGCATGAAGAGTTCTTTAATTTTGTTGAGACGACTTGGTTGACAGCTAATATTAGGGGTAAGGCGATCTTTTCTTTCAAGGAGAAGTTAAAGGTGATGAGAGGTGCTTTGAGGAGGTGGAATGTTGAGGTGTTTGGTTTTCTAAATCTTGAGGTAGATTCGGCTATCAAAGAGTTGAATGATTTAGATTTGTTAGCTTTGGATTCGGATACTTTGGATGTAGTTGACTTGACTTGTAAGAGATCATTGACTTCTTCTAAAGTGTGGGAATCAGTTTGCTTCAAAGAGAGTGTTCTTTGTCAAAGCGCAAGATGTTTGTGGCTTGCAGAAGGAGATTCGAACTCTAACTTCTTCCATAAAGTCATTAAGCATCATGCTAGAAGGAATTTTATTTTGGGACTGCGCACTCCTAATGGTTGGTGTGAGGATGTGGAGCTGGTTAAATATGAGGTTAGGAATCATTTTAAATTAAGATTTACGAAAACTATGTCCTCAAGACCTCTTTTGGATGGGATTTCTCTTAACTCGCTTTCGGTGGAGGAAGCTTCATCTTTGGAACTCCCTATTACGGAGGAGGGGGTGAGAAAAGTCATTTGGAGTAGCGACGATGATAAAAGTCTGGGGCCAGACATTTTCTCTTTGTGTTTTTATAAGACTTGTTGGTACTTTTTGAAAGCGGAGGTGTTGAATTTTGTGAAGGAGTTATTTTATTTTGCCGTGATCCCTAAGGCGATCACTTCTTCTTTTTTGGATTTGACACCTAAGGTGGAAAACCCTATCTCATAGGATGATTTTAGGCCAAGTTTCCTTATAAGTAGCATGTATAGGATTTTGGCTAAGCTACTTGCTTCTAGATTGAAGATGGTGGTGGGTAAGCTTGTGTCGAAATGTCAATCCGCTTTTATTCCGAATAGGAATATGTTGGATGGGGTGTTGGTTCTAAATTAATTGTTGGATTATGCCAAGAGGTTTAAGAAGATTTGAATGATAGTGAAGGTAGATTTTGAGAAGGCCTATGATTGTGTGTCGTGGGATTTTCTTAAATACTTGTTGAGACGAATCGGGTTTGGTGTGAAGTAGAAAAGTTGGATTGAGGCTCTTTTTTAATAGTTTTATGTCGATCCTAGTGAATGGTAGTCCGACTCGGGATTTTTCGATTTCTAGAGGTGTAAGACAAGGGGATCTGCTTTCTTCCTTTCTTTTCTTATTGTTTGCGGAAGGTTTGTCGGGTATGGTTAATGTGGCTTCTTCTTTAGGAGATTTTAAGGGTTTCCATATGGATTATCAAACCCATTTTAAAATGCTTTAATTCGCCGATGACACTATCTTGATAGGGGAAGACTCGTGGACCAATCTTTGGGCGATTAGGGCTATCCTTTGGGGAATCGAATTAGCTTCGAAATTGCATGTTAACTTGAATAAGAGTACACTTCTTAGGGTTAATTTGGATTCGAAGTTTATTCAAGCGGCTTCCTCTTTTCTCAATTGTGAGATTGGTTCTTCGTTCTTTTCTTTTTTGGGTATCCTGATTGGTATCAATCCGAGGAGATGTGACATGTGGAGACCGGTTGTGTCGAGGCTTAGAAGAAGACTTGGAGGGTGGCAAAATAGACATCTTTCTATTGGTGGAAGAGTGGTTGTTTTGAACTCAATTTTGTCAAGTATTCCAATTTATTTCTTCTTTTTCTATAAGGCGCCTAAGGCCATTATTAAAGAGATTATCATACTTCAAAGGAATAGAGAAGGAAGATTAATTAGATTTGTTGGGATAAGGTTTGTCTCCCAAAAAAAGAAGGGGGGGGGGGCTTGGAGTGAAACATTGTGGGAAGTTCAATCTTGCTCTTCATAGCAAATGGAAGTGGAGGATTTTAAATGAGGATAACTTTTTATGGTCTAACTTTCTTTCTTGCAGGTATGGAGACATTAAAAGAGCAATGCTTGGCGTTCTTCTTTCAATTCAAAGAGTAAATCTTCTCTTTGGTGGAGGGATCTTTGTGCGGTTGGTTGTTCGGATTCGAATCAAATGGCAATTGGTTTACTTCTTCTATTTCTTGCAAACTTGGTTCAAACTCTTTTTTGTTGTTTTGGCATGATCGTTGGATGAGCAAAACTCTGTTAAATATTCTATATTCGAATCTTTCTCTTTTGGCGGATAATAGTCTCTCGAAGGTAGCAGAAATGAGAAGTTGGCGTGGGGATGTTTGGCGTTGGAATTTACTTTTTAGGCCACTGGTGGAGGACGGGGTAACAACCGACCAATGGTGTGAGCTGCTATTGTCCTTGCAGTCTATTTAGCCTTCTCACTCTATGGCGGATCGATTTGTGCGGTGGAGAAACCCAAATGGTTTTGCGATTAGTAATGCTTATGTGACACTCGGTTTTGGTGACCTATCGAGATTGGTTTTGGATGATAAGATTTTCTTAGCTTTATCTCGTTTATGGAATACCAAATTGCCTAGTAGAATTTTTATTTTTGGTTGGAGATTGATTTGGAATAGAATTTCTACGAAGACAGAGTTATCAAAGCGAGGTACGTTATCGGGATCCCATTCCTTGGTTTGTCCTTTGTACTTCGGGGTTGAGGAGGATTCAGATCACTTGTTTTTTAGTTGTCCAATTTCCAAAAAATAGTGGGTTGACATTTATTTTTGGCTTCGGGTGGAAGACTCCTTCTTGGATTGTTCGATTTTGGAGTATCTTCTTTGGTTGAATTGATCTTGTAAGTCCGCTTTTCACTTGGATATGAGTTGGTTTTTTGGTTTAACAATTTGTTGGGTTATTTGAAAGTGTAGGAATGATATTCTTTTTAAAGATAGTTTGTTGTCTAATTTTGATGGTGTGAGGTTGATTAACTCCTTTCGTGAGAATGATTTGTTGTGTTCTTTAGACTTGAGTCTAATTTGTCTTGGTAGAAGTGGAACAATGATTCGACTATTTTTTTTAGATAAAGTCGGATTTGGTATTAGTAGTTTTAATGGATTTTGATTTATTGTATTTTTGGGTTAAACACCCCTAATATTTTTTAATATATTTCCTTTAAAAAAAAAGAATTTTGCTAAAAAAAAAACTCAGACAATTACTTATCTCTATTGAATCTCCTTGCAAATTTAAACTATATTTAGCTAGCGAATCTACACATCGATCTGAATAATCAAACATAAAAAAAAGTTTCCCAACATAGTCAAATAATTGCACGTTTTAATTAATTAATTCTCTCAAATAAGTTATGGAACATAAATAAAATAAAAATGTATGTACATCCACTATGTGTGTGACTAGTGTCCAAAAAAAGGATTAAACTATAACTAATTATTGTGAAAAAGACTAATAATATGAGAGTAAATATTTGACAGTGTATGTATGATTAGGCGTGAGTAGCATGATTAAATTAATAAATATGAATTATTTAGATATTGGCACTTTATATACCCAAAAAGCAATTGTAGG